TAAAAAATAAAATTATTTTGAAAATAAAAATGCGTTTTTTGAGTCAATTTAGTTGAAGTAACTAATTATTATCAAATAGATGTTTAATTTTGAAAAGTAGAAAAATATCAAAATGAACTTTGATTTTTGTTCTTGGTTGTCTTTAAATTAGATTTAAAAGAATTATTAAGTAGTGAGAATGGCAGTTAAATTTAGTTTCTCAATTATGCCGATAAAAGTATCACAAATTTTTACAAATGAATATTCATCGTTCTGAGACGATGAGTTTTCGCAAAATTAATGTTGGTGTTTATGAATATTAAATAAGCATTGACTAAGGCCCATTTACAAAAAAAATAGAGGTGGATAGGTATCTTTCGAACAACTTTTGATAAGAACAAGATGGAGAACTACGATTTAGACCATTGGAAAGAAGAGATGAAGACGCATCGAACCGTATATTATAAGTTTTTCTAAGATTCTCTCTAAAGTTTTCGTAATCAATTTTCTAGGAAGTGCTTGAAAATTGTTTTTTTTTACCGAAATGAATAGAAATATCGATAGAGAATTTCGAGTAGAATACCTATAACTCCTGAATGAATAAGTCTAAGTCTCGACATTGCATAGTTTTGCAGATCTCTCACTAGTAGCTTGAATATACGCCTGATTACTGAAAATTCACTTTAGTCACCTTACGAAGTATCTTGGTTTTGAAAAACATCAGTTTAAATCCTTCAAAAACCTAGGTGAAATTGTTCTGTAAAACACAGTTTAATGCGTTTTCATCTCCTCTTTCCAACGGTGAAAATCGCAGCTTTCTACTTTTCTTCTACCAAAAGTTATTCAAAAAATACTCGTCTGCTGCCTTTTTTTTGAAATGAACATTACTTCAGGTTCAGTAGCTATCTTGATAATACATGTGAGAAAAAAATTCTTCTACCTAAAAAAACTTCCCTACCTCTATCTATATACATTACAGTTCGTAGTAAACGCTAACCAATAAAAACGTCTAAATACAAATCAATTAATTAAGATAAACACCAATAGCATTTCTTAATTTACTTTTCGTTCGTCTATTAAAGCTTTTACCTATCGATTTTATAGTATATTGTTCGAAGTTAAAAGACGTTTCCTTCTTCTAATGGATAGATGATACAATTCTAACTGTTAATATCTACATGTAAGTTACAAGCAGTGAATAAATCGAAAAAACTATTAATTTATTATTTATTAGAGAAAAAAAGTAAAATACAAATCAAGGATATCCTTCTCTGAAGCAAGACAAATTTTTGTTATAACACGCATCATTGAAAACGATGTTTTCCTAGTAGAGAATGTGACTAATATAGACTAATGCGTAATTTCCTCATGTTGAGCTACAATAGAAAATTAAATATTGGATTCCAATTTCCTGAATTTTATGTGATAACAAATGAAACTTATTTAATTTTTTTTTCTGTACTACTAGATAATATTTCTTTCACATCTACTAAATATCTATTGGTTTATTTTAAACGAAAAATATAATTTACAAGACAAGACATAGGTGATAAGAATTATATACTTTCATTATATTTTAGTGGAAAGCTCTGATCGATGGATTTAAATAATAGGTAAACATGCATGTTGAATTAATTCTTAATTAATATAGCCTTATTTTTAACAGACAACTTTTGCTTCAACTTGAGGTACTTATTATTAAAGATATTAATAGCAGTGTTTCTAATGGAAAGCAAAAACAAAAATGTCTTGTTACATTTTTATTTGCATTAATGTTTGTTTCAGAATTGAAGAGAGATAAGTGTAAAGTCAATACTTCGACGACGGCAACAGTTAGTAATCTTCAGATGTCAACAATTGAAAGAGGAGAATTCCGAATATGTTTTTGTCTAATATAAAATTTATATTAAAACATATCATATTCGCAAAAATAATACATGAAAACAGTGTTTCGTTTCAATATAATCTTGTTTGTCTTATAATAGTATCAGATAAAAAGACATCTACAGTTGTCCTCTTTCAATTACTGAAGACTACACATCATTAGCTGTTGTTATTATTGGTGTCGAGTTAAGGAGTTTATACCTACCTCTCTTTAATTCTGATGTGGACATTAGTAAAGTATTCGTATACATCTTCTTTTCATAAGCTGAGTGTATTGAAATGTATAAAGACGAAGTCTTATTAAAAATAAACCAAAAACAAATAATCTTTTTTTCATCTAATGAAAATATTTATCGACGATTAAAAAAAGAAAAAATTTATTTTCAAAAAAAATAGCATAAATTAAATTCAATATTTTTCTATCAACAAAAAATACATATATAGATAATCCTCTTGAAAACAAAATGTTATGTTATTCAGCAAAGTGTATTTCATATAGTCTATGGTTCTATGCAAAATATAAAACAACATGTATATCAAAAATAACAGATATTCTGTAAATATTGTCTCTGCTTGTCACACCTGCTCTTAAAAACATTTGTGTACATTAATCAAGAGTGTTTAAAGAGGAAGATGGCAGCGAGAATCAATAATAAACAAAAGACATAGAGGGCAGTAAAATCAAAAAAAAAAGTAATTTGCTTTAAAAACGATTATAGAAAATTCGCATAAAACTCGAATAAATAAAAATTGAAAGCTTTTGTCAAAAAAAGAAAAACATTCATTGTTACAAATCTATAATCGAAGTGCATCAATAACTTTCACATCTGCTATGAAAAACATGAGTCATTACTTCTTGACATTTTCACCATTATATACTGTATGTATATAGGATATAGATTTTGCCCTTCTTTTTTTTTCCGATCATCTATAAGCAAACATTTCCGGTAAAAGATACTTGAAGTCAATTGGACTTTATTATTATTTTTTTTTCTTCAAAGAAAATAAGATGTCCGAGAGATACGAAAATATTCTTTTTTTTTTCTTGTTCCAGATATTAAATCTATGGATACAATTGGTAGTAATTCAGTTAATTCTGGTTTTGTTGGTATTAAATTTTGTCAAGAATGGTTCGTAAAAAAAGAATTTTCTATTAATTTTATTTTCTTTTTTTCAATATATTTTTAGTAATAATATGTTATATCCAAAAGAAGATAAAGAAAATCGAATATTACTTTATGCAGTAAATAATTTTATTTCTTTCATTGATTTCTAACAATCTATTTATTTAGTGTCGTCGTTGTCAGCATCAACAGGCGGCAGACAATCCTTGCATTTATGTCAATAAGATTACACATGAAATAGAGTAAGTATTAATTTTCATAAATACTTACGATATTAGTAAAATTTATCTTAAAAAAAAAAATTTGTTCGATAATTTTATTATGAAAAAGAGTCACACAAAATATTGTTCCATATAGATTTTTAATATAAACGATCTGTAAGGAAAATCTTTTTACTTTCTTTGATTTATTTCTGTTATACATGTATAAAATAATGCAAAACAAAATAAACTACTTGCATAATAATTGAGCAATATTTATTAAAAAAAAGGTTCTGTAAGATAACATGCAGTTATTTTTGTACTATGGTTGTATATGATCGTTTTGATCAGTTTATAAAAATTGAATCGACTTATCGTCTCAAAAGACTTCTTTTTTTGTGACGTATTTACAAAAGAAAATGTCTTTTTCATAAGTTCATA